CCCCTAAACCCCTAAACCCCTAAATCCCTATACCCCAAACCCTAAACCCTAAACCCTAAACCCCTAAACCCTAAACCCTAAAACCCTAAACCCCTAAACCCCTAAACCCTCACAGGCCCAGCAGAGGGGATCCTGCTAAGGCCCTGCGGGGTGCTGGCGGCTACGTCGGGGAGCTGCCCATGGCACCCAAGGCAAGGCAGCGGTGCCTGAGTTCGGCTGTTGGGGTTTAGATTTTTTTTTTTTGGCTTTGGCGGTTTGCAGGTTTTGGGGTTTTTGGGGTTACCGGTGTTCGGGTTTTAGGGTTTGGGGGTTTTTGGGGTTTTGGGGGTTTTTAGTGTGAAGGGTGTCGGTCCCGAGAGCACCCAGCGTTTATTTGGGTTGAGGATTGAGGGGTAGGCCGCTAAACCCTAAACCCTAAACCCGAAGGGAACTTTAGGGAGCACTAGGGAGAATTGGGGATTACAAGCTTCCCACCCTTGTGGGCCCGTGTCTTTAAAGCCCCAATGAAATCAGCTGGGGGTAGGGTGAGTGTGGGTCCTTGTGAAGGGTCGAAGTTCGCGGTACCTTAGTTGAGGGTTCTTACTGCACTATCTGAAACTCCCAAACACGAGACGCAGCAGGTCATGGCCATCTACTTCCCCCAGTACCACCAATTTCCGGAGCCACTGAGCTCGAATCCCTCTTGTGCCCGGCTTTCTGCAGCGTCGGCTTAGCGGTTTGGAGCTTTGTGGAGTTCGGGTTATATAAGGGTTTCCGGTCCAGGGTCTGTTCTTTCGTGTAGGGCTACAGGGCCTTCTGTCTAGCATATTATGTATTTTGCAGACTCTTGCCGAGTATCGGAGTGCTTCAACATGAAATTTTCTTTCTGCGCTGGCAAGTGGAATAAATGCTACGCAGTTGTCAAACATAAGTCCTTTTCATTGCGGAGCAGGCCCCAAGGCTCACTTGTGTCAGGAGTCTACGGGGACGAGGGTGGGGGGCATTCAACAGAAGGGGAAGAAGACAAGCTCGAGCAACGGAGAAACACAAACAGCAACAAGCATAGCAACAGCAGCACCAAGAGCAACAGTAGTTCAGTCAATCCTAGAGCCCACGCGCCTCCCCGGGAATTAGGCCAACGGTCGGCTTGGCAAATCCGGGGGCGGCTCAGGAATGACGAGTTCCACGGCGAGGGCTTTACGGAGTGGACGCATCTGAGCCGTGGCACAATGGCTGCCTGCTTGGAGATGTCTGTGCTCCTGCAGACTGAGGGTTTCGGCGGGCCTCGGGCCTCGGGCCAGTACACCACATGTAACACTCATAGAAGTCGCAGTGGTTTATAAAGAGTCTCACAAGCAACAGAACATGCGTAGCAGCGAGGGTTAGTAAGCAGAGCGACCTTTTAGGTCATGGTACTAAATCGCCATCACCATCTCCACCATCTCCACCATCATCACCATCATCACCCTCCTCCTCCTGCTCCTCCTCCTCATCATCATCACTATCACCAGCACCATCGCCATCACCACCATCATCATCATCGTCATCGTCACCATCACCATCACCATCACCATCATCATAACCACCGTTATCACCGTTATCACCATTATCATCATCATCATCATCATCATCATCATTATCGTCATGATCGTCATCGACATCATCGTCGTCACCATCATTGTCATCACCATCATCGTCATCACCATTATCATCATCGTCGTCATCATCGTCATCATCATCATCATCATCATCATCATTATCATCATCACCATCAGCATCAGCATCAGCATCAGCATCAGCATCAGGAACAGCATCACCATCACCATCACGATCACCATCACCATCACCATTATCATAGTCATCATCATCATAGTCATCATCCTGATCTTCATGATGATGATGATGATCATCATCATCCTCATCGACATCCCCATCTTCAGGACGCCCAGCATCATTCAGAGATGATGATGATTATGAGATCAGGATGATGATGGTGATGATGATGGTCATGATAATGATGATGGTAGTGGTGCTGATGATGATGATGATGATGTTGGTGACCATGATCATCAGCATCCCTGTCATCGTCAGGGGCCAATTGCAGTAGCTACAGCAGCACAAACCCTGACGCCTAAGCCGCAGACCCATATCCTCAAAATCCAAGAAGCTCCGCCCCTTAAGCCCTAAAGCCTGAAACCATAAATCGCAAAATCTAAATGCCACACCTTCAAGTTCGTTTCAGGAAGCCTTTTGTGGACGAAACCAACGAGCTACGCAAGCCGCTCTCCTCGGAGAAGGGTGGCCTGGACTACTACGTGCCTCGTCTTTAACATGTTGATGTTTAGGATTGAGGGTTAAGGGTTGAGGGCTTCGGCGTGCCTACTGGGAATTTCGCCCCTAAACCCTAGATCCCAAACCCCAAGCCCTAACCCTAAACCGAACATTTAGCCGACTACACCAGCCCCGAAGCCCGAAACGGGAAATAACTGCCAGGATTAGTTCTTAGGTTTCTTCATACTTGCGTTTCTTACACTATGGCATACTCTAAGGGGTCGAAACAACTAGTGAACATTTGCCGATGACAGGACCTATATATTATATAACTGTATTTGGTCATATACTTATACTATAGCCTACCTCCCAATTCGACTGTTAAGGCACCCAAAGTACTTGGAGGCCCTTTTGACTTAGTAAGTAGGGTTAGTAAGGTGGGTTATGGGGATTATAATAGGGCTCCTGGGGGATACTAAGTAGACTTACTAAGTCAAAAGGGCCCCCAAAGTAGGTCCCAAGCCTGCTCTTCTGGAGCCCAGTTGAAACGTTCAGAAGCGCCAGCTGCCCCGGATTCGGTGCCCTAAGCAGCTTCAATGTCGGATTGAGAGAACCCTTAACCTCATAAGTTACCCTAAACCCTAGACTCTCAGACCCTAAAAAACGCTAAACCCTAAACCCTAAACCGACAAGGGTCGAGGCAAGAACTCCTCGTGAGCCGCTGAGGACCTCACGCAGCGCGACGTTCGCAAGCGCCAGGCCGGTAAGTCGTGAATTCGATCAGGGTTTAGGGTTTAGGGT